ACACACACACACACACACACACACACACACACACACACACACACACACACACACACACACACACACACACACACACACACACACACACAGATTGACCCGAGCAGCATGATGCACGACCTCCTGCTTGTTGTCTACCTCACACAACTCACAAAGTCGCAACTCGCCCTCCACGAGAAGCTCCAGACCGTCCTCTGATGACACACACACACACACAACATCCATCTGCACCTCATTTGCCCAATACGACGCCATATGCCATCCACCCATCCACCCATCGTTGTGTTTGTTGTTTGCTCTTCCAGTCGTGCGCGGCTTTGTATGCGCGCGCGTATGTGTTGCTGCTTCTGTTGACACATGAATAGAGAGACTGAGACAGAGAGTGAGTGAGTGAGTGAGAAAGCGGTGAGCAGAGGCAGGCCACCAACACAGTGCATTGAGGAAGAAAGCGCACACGTGCACACAAATCAACACAACACCAACAACGATGAGTTCACTGCGGGAGTTGCGGGTGGTGGATCTGTACAGCGGCATTGGCGGGTTGCACGCTGCGCTTGGCGTGGCCATCGCTCGCATCAATGCCAGACCAACACGCGCGGGACAGGCACCGTGGTCCGTGGAGGATGTGAGGCCCTTTGATGTCAACACCGCGGCAAACAAGGTGTACCAGCACAACCACAGCATTGCTCCATCGCCTCGCGGCATCGACGCGCTCACCCCACGGCACGTGCGCGACAGCAACCTCTGGCTCATGAGCCCGCCATGCCAGCCTTACACCAGGTGCCTGTGTGTGTGTTTGCCTGTGTGTGTGTGTGTGTGTGTGTGTGTGTGTTTGCCTGTGTGTGTGTGTGTTTGCCTGTGTGTGTGTGTGTGTGTGTGTGTGTGTGTGTGTGTGTGTGTGTGTGTGTGTGTGTGTGTGTGTGTGTGTGAACGCGCGCGTACAAGTGTATGTTCGTTCAATTGTGCGTGAATGTACCACCGTGTGTGCGTGTGAAGGCATCGTTGCGCCATTGCATACTTCACGTGATGCACTGTCTCCATGCTGCCCATCTGCTTTGCTGATCCTCATTCTCTCACGACAACACCAGGATTGGGAAGCAGCTGGATGTGGAGGACCCGAGGGCGGCGAGCTTCCTGCACATGATTGAGATGCTGAGCAAGATGGAGTCGCCACCACAGCTCCTCTTCCTCGAGAACGTAAAGAACTTTGAGCACTCCGAGACCCGGCGGCGCCTGCTGCACGTGCTTCATCAGCGCAACTACAGCGTGCAAGAGTTTCTCGTGTCTCCAACACAGCTGGGCATCCCCAACACCCGCCTGCGGTACTACCTCCTTGCAAGCCGCTCCGCTGGGCCGCAGGACACTGCTACCGCTGCAACCGCCGCCACCGACACATCCACACAACAACAACACCGACAGCCTGATGCTGCACCACCAACGACAGCAACATCATCGCCGGCAACAGCAGCGGTGGCATCGTCTCCAGTGCACGCGTTCATGCCGCGGTTACAGCACGACAGCAACACCAACGACGACAGCACCAACGACGACACCGGTCATGGTGATGCTGGTTATCAGGACCAAACAGTGCCCATGAGTGCACGTGGTCGGCAGCTTCCCAACCCCCATCCTCAGCCGCTGCCACCACCGCGCTGCATGCTCCCGATGGGCGACTACATCGCCACCTCGCTGCCACCAGCGCTGGTGGAGGAGCTCATCTTGACCCCTGCGACGCTGCAGCGGGCAGGCAACTTCAGGTTTGATGTGGTCACGCTCTCCTCGCTCACCAGTACCACATTCGCCAAGGGATATGGGGTGAAGGGCCACCTCCGAGGATCGGGGCCCGTGCTGCTGCTGAACAGCGGCGACCTCACACCAGCGTCAACAGACCCCAGCAATGGTGATGGTGACGACAATGATGATGATGATATGAGGACGAAGAATGATGCTGCTGCTGATGCTGCTGCTGCTGATGATGATGACGATGATGATGACGATGATGATGATGATGCAACTGATGATGGCAGCCAATGTAGCAAGCGTGCTCGCAGGGGCCAGCTCGACCAAGTGCAACAGCAGCAGCACCAGCAGCAGGTGGTGGTGGGAGTGCGTGATGAGAAGCGGTCCTTCCGGTCCTTGCAAGCACACGAAAAGGCGCGGCTGTTTGCCGTCTCGGAGATGCTGCGACTACACGGGTTCCCTGAGGCGTTTGAAATGCCTGCAGGCATCACACAAAAGCAGGGGCGGGGCCTTGTTGGGAACAGCGTCAACGTGGAGGTGGTGGCGCATTTGCTCCAGTACTTGCTTGAGAACATTGCGTGTGTCGCCGACGCTGATGCGTCTCAGCAGCCGTGAACCCACGTGTTGTGTGCGTGTGTCATGTGTGTGTGTGAGTGTGTGCATGTGTGTGTGTACGTGTGTGTGTGTGATATAACTTCGGATGCACTGAGGCGTGACGAGACGTGACGAGACGTGACGCTACTTTATGGGGTCGCTGTGCAAACTTGAGCTTGGTTTGTAACAACACAACATCGACACCAACAGTAAACGGCAACAAAAGAAAGAGCCGGTGAGACATGACAGCCCATGCCACGGAGTAACAACAACGTCAACAAGAACAACAACAACTGACTTCATTGAATTGAAACAATATCCAGCCACGGAACACATGAGCAACAACAACAACAACAACAACAACAACAACAACAACAACAACAACAACAACAACAACAACAACAACAACAACAACAACAACAACAACAACAACAACAACAACAACAACAACAACAACAACAACAACAACAACAACAACAACAACAACAACAACAACAACAACAACAACAACAACAACAACAACAACAACAACAACAACAACAACAACAACAATCACCACCATCACTACTCCGCGTCGGCTGCACATCTGAATCCGACGTTGGCGGCGCTGCTGTCTGGGGTGATGTGCATGCGCGCAGCGATGCGGTATCGGTAGCACGTGAACTGATGGCACATGTACGACCCGCCCTTCTTCACCTTCGTCTCGCCGCTCGAAGGGCCCCGCGGGTCCACAGCAGGCGCTGCGCTGTGGCGGTTTGTGAACCAGTCGTTGGTCCACTCCCACACGTTCCCAACCGTGTTGTACAGCCCAAACTTGTTGGGTGGATAGGCTGTGCCAGGCGCCGTCAGCGCATACCCGTCCTCCATCGAGTTGGGCGCCCTTGAGAGAAGCAAGGAGAGGCGAAGGGCGGGGGGTGGGTGATGGAGGGGGGATGCATGTGTGAGAGGATATCCGTGAGTGAGTGAGTGAGTGAGTGAGTGAGTGAGTGAGTGAGTGAGTGAGTGAGTGAGTGAGTGAGTGAGGAAGGGAGGGAGGAAGGGAGGGAGTGAGGGAGTGGATCAATGGAGCTTCGATTGCAGCTCGGTGGGACACAACATCAATCACAGAGATGTCGCCACGTGTGTTCACTGACGAGTAAAAAGCGTGGGCCTCGCGAATTGGAAGGAAGCTGTGCTGAAAGGCGTTTCGGTCTGTCGGCACATCATACGTGGACTGCCACGTGTTCATCCAGTGCCTGTTCTTGGGCATCATCTTGTTCCCCCACGGAAACGTGCGGTTCTGTGCGTGTATGCGTGGATGTGCGTGGATGTGTATATGCGTGTATGCGTGCGTGTGCGTGTGTATGTGCGTGTGTGTGTGTGCGTGTCAGCATCTGAGCAGTTGCGTGTGTGTATGTGAGTTAGCATCTGAGCAGTTGCGCGCCATGACGAGCCATCTCTGTTATCCCTACGTTACACCGAACACACACACACACACACTCGCACGCACGCACACACACACACACACACACACACACTGATGCACGTGTGCTCCTTCACCTTCAGGCCGCCACTCGCTGCGAATTCCCACTCTGCCTCTGTGGGGAGCCGGCCCTTTGGGTGCGACCACTTGCAGAACGCCTGTTGTTGTTCGCGCACGCCATTGTGATGGTGGTGGTGTGTTCAGTCATGAGCTCGGGTGGATTGGGAGTGGGTGAGGTACGGGTGAGCAAGGGCAGATCTGCAACTCGCACGCCTAGAGATACACGAACGCTTGTACACACACACACACACACACACACACACACACACACACACACACACACACACACACACACGCGCGCGCGCACAACACGACC